AAACCTTCAGCAGAGTGTAGGGTTTCAGCCAAAAAAAATTTCAGCCAAAACGGTTTAGTAGTTTTCTCGGTTAGCGCGGTCGAAGAAAAACCCTTACAATTTTTTATGTATAACATTTGAATAAAAAATTGACGGAGTTCACGGGCGAAGCTGTGACGGCTCGACTAGTTTATTCCAATAAATCCTATAATTCCTATAAATTCCACTAGTGTACTTTTTATTTGTTCGGAGAAAAATTAATAAAAAAAATTTTTTCTATTTCTTTTTATTTTTTCAAATGACTGCAGCACCCTGTATGTAGTCCAAAACATAATTTTTAATAGTACCTAATTTAAAATGTACAAACAATTAATTTAATCACTCAGTTATTGATTATTTATTTAAAATTGTACTATTTTAAATAAGTACGTTTACTATCTACTTGAAAAGTCCTTTTCAGGACTAGGCATACCTACTTTAAAAGTCCTTTTCAGGACTAGGCATACCTACTTAAAAAGTCCTATTCAGGACTAGGCATACCTACTCAAAAGGTCCTTTTCAGGACCACCAAATTTTAAAATGCTCTGTTTATTACCTATCTATCACTTACTATACGAAACAAGTATATTATTAGCATTCATACAATTATAATTATTTTTGTTTTTAAATTACATTTATTGTGAATTCTAATTTTGTATGGAGGGAGGGGGGGGGTGATACATTATGTTGCCTCAACGAAAAAATACTACCAGAACCGCCACTGCGAAATGCGATCATTGTGTCCTTAAGTCTTCTACTGGTCACACGTTAGTCTCTGCCCGCTCAGTGTTTCACAGTTGTACTCCGGTTTTAACTCTCATCGCTAGGTTTTATTTTTACCGTTGTGTTATTTTAAACATATCAAATATGTTCAAGTGCGTTCAGTGTAACAGAATGTTCTCTAGCAAAGATAATTTAGTTAGACACAATAAAATCCACAAAAATGTTCAGTTTACGTGTGAAATATGTTTTAAGACTTGCCCGTATAGATAATTTGGCAAAACACACGAAGAATATGCATGGTATGTATTTTTAATTATATAAATATGATTATAATAATTATTTCATTTTTTTCAAAAATATTTTAATTAAATATTTAAAAAGCTTATTACATTTAATTTTCATTCGATAAATTTTACAACAGAATTAATAATTATTATTTAATTAAACATTTACAAGTGTATACATATAATTTTATTTTTAAAATGTTTAAAATTTTTCAACTAATATTGTTCGACGTAATGAACATTAAATCGCTCCGGAGATTGTTGTTCCCGACATACCTGTCGGTCCATCAGATGAAATTGTTGATTCCGATGACGAATTGTGTGTGCTGGCGATGGAAGGCGCTGAAAATATCGGTTTTTGCGAAGGTAATATTTTTCATTAAATATAAATCAGATAATTCTAGTTTGAAACAGTTTATATATCTAACAGGGTTATTTTTTCTCTCCGTAGGGCTTGAAAATTGTAAACGGGGAAATTCGAAGGATGTAGATCAGATAAAGAGAGCCAGGTTAAATTTAGTAGGAAATGCGACTGGTTTTATCAACGTTGGATCATCTTTCAATAATATTATCACTTGGTATTATAAAAAAAACTTGGAAAATATATTCAATCATTCTATCTTTGTCAACTCAATAAAATCAGAACTAATCGAAATTTTAAAATCATCATCAAAACCACTCAAATTCAATCTTAAACTAGAAGCCACATATAGATAATTCGTCCGTGAACAGGGCATTCAAGACCTCAGTTAAAACTGGTTACAACGTGCTATTACGTGTGTACAGTGTGTTACGACAGTGACAAAACAATGCGGGTCCTCACTATTTATAATCAATGGTTTAACCATTGATTATAAATAGTACAATTTACGTCTCGCCGAGGAGCGACTGCCGACGTTTAGCAACAATTAAAAATAATATTATTTTATTCCAATATAATTGACAAAATTCCTTATCGCCCTCTATTGGCAAAAGTTTCTTACGCAGCATCTTTTGTATTGCAGTGAGCTATTTATACTAGTTATCATCAATGGTATTATTCACTATAATATGACAACGAAGCGACTGTAATCGACGAGATAATATCGGATATTAATCGTATATTGGGAAAAAATGCGTTTTATCGATGACCGAAAAAATCGGCACGGCGGAACCACAGACGGCAAGATTGTTCAGACCAGGAGCGTAGCCAAGGGGGTGCTGAGGGGGCTATAGCCCCCCCCCCTCATAGGCCGTGTTTATATGTATAATGTATCTTGACTATTTAATAGAATCAATAGATGCTCGTTTTAATTAAAGGCTTATTGATGTTTTGCCACTTGAAGGACTTATTCCGGCCAATTTAAATATGTATGACGATAAAAATATTATAAAAGCTGCTAAAATATATGTCCAAGATCTCCATGATGATACCTCATCTACAATCAGAGCTGACCTGTTCATATAAAGGCAACAATGGAGTCAAAATACTATTCCAAAACCGAATTCTGCTCTTTATTCATTCTCTCATCGCACCAATCTTCGACCTAACATTAAAATACTTTTACAATTATTCGCCACGTTACCAGTTACCTCTTTCACTCCGGAAAGAACGTTTTCAGCACTGAATCGCCTAAAATTGTTTTTAAGAAGCACCATGTCGGAAAACAGACTGAATGGGTTAGCTATGGCTAATATAAATAAAAAATAGCAATTCGATTGAAGTGAAATAACTGAATTTGCCAGAAATTCGCCTAAGAAGATGCAGCTGTCAGAGTGGAGCAAGTGACTGAACACTGAAACCAAAATTATTATTATTATTATAAATTATATATTAATAAATATTTTTATAACTTTATTAAAATGCTTGAATTACGTTTAGAAACTTGGTGGTAGATGGTGGGGGGGGGGTAAAGAGTGAATTGTCATATCCTCTCTTACCTTACTTATCCAAAAAAGTGGTTAGCCCCCCCTCATTTAAAAATCCTGGCTACGCCACTGGTTCAGACTATACGTTTTATCGGTTGCCGGAAACCTAGTGAACATTTACTAAGGAATCTAAAAAGCGCGATAATTGCAATTACAATAACAATTATCGATAATTTAACAATTAAACGGAAACCGAAAAACGTCTAGTGTAGATCAGTTGTGCCCAACCCGCGGCCCGCGGGCCACATGTGGCTCATAACGAATTTTCTAAAATAAAAAAAATTTTAAAAATGTATGAAAACATTTTTAAATTATTTTCATATAATTATTTTTATTTAAATTTATGATTTCGTTTAAATAATTATTCCGAAAAATACAATTATATACACCTCAATTTATAATATTTTCAATAGACAATAAAAGATAGAAAACAAGTTTAATATATAAGACTATTTTTGTACTTTTATACTTTGTCAGCCCGTTAGAAAATAATTGTTTACCAAAGTGGTCCGCCAAAGAAAAAAGGTTCAGCATCACTGGTGTAGATTGTCCTATATAATTGAATGTAATTTTGAGACCGACCGAAAAGCATTGGCACAAAGAAACCGCAACTGCATGCGATTTTTTTTAACCGATTTCGGACGGTTTGGAGAATCAGTCTAGTCTAAACGCGATAATGCAGTTCTATGTTAAAATTATGTATGTTTATCATTGGTAATAAAGAATCACAGACTTCTTATACTCTTCTAAAGTCTGTGTAAAGAATGGATAGGCCATTCCTATACTTCTATATTATCTTTATTATCTATGATGTTTATATATATGTTGCAGTTGTTTACCGATCGGTTGCGTATTATCGGCAACCGACAAAACGCAGTGTGATCATAAAGTATCTATGAGTGTGATCCGGCACTAATACCACAGAATACATTAAATCTTTAATCTATTCTGTGGTGCAACGCTATAAGTATTTGAAAGACCATAAATTATCTATACCAGACTTACTTCGATCATAGAACTTAAAAAAATAAACATTTAATTTAAACTAATTGTTTGATTACATTTCTTTGGAGGCTAAATATGATGTTGATGATTCATATCATACGGTTTAAGCAAGGTGTATTATATGTTGCATAGACATACGGCGTAGAGAAGATTATTTTATTTATATTATGTCTATGATAAGTCGACACCTTCAGTCTATGATAGTACACTTGTAGTATATTGACATTAATGCATCTACAATAATAAATGAACAATGATATTACTCGAAGTAATTACATTGAATCACATTATACAGTATATGACATTTCTCTGTGTATTATACAAAAATTGTTAAGTATATATATTGAAAGAAAAAAGTTTGTAATATTACTTGATATATTACATAAACGGTTTTTGACTGTAAAAATAATATTAAATCAATTAATTATATGACTGGATACAAAAACCTTAATTTATATTTTTAATTATTACGATATAAGTCATCTATAAGTCATCTACTGGTAGTGAAAACATAAACCAATAGTTTATTTAAATGTATAAATAATGAAATAAATATTTATATGAATTAATATTCTGTATTTTTATGAATTATACATAAATATTTCAACATGTTTTTTTTTTTTTTTTTTTTTTTTGATAAAATAATAGATGAAAAATAGTATTTAATTTTGTACAAATATATTATGTTAAATGTTAGAAAAAAATTTAAATAAAATAATTAGTATAATATCATATTTAACAACAATATAAATTAATCATAACAAGTTTAATTTAGTAACTACTAGTTTTTGTTGAAAATTATAAATATAAATTATAAAAACTAACATGAGAATTTCTATAAATTATAAAGCAGAATTTTAAGATTAATTTTGTTAATTGAAATAAAATTAAAATGCATAAACTATTATAAACACAAATTATTTTTGGGAGCTAGATACTAAACATAGTTATCTAAAATTAACTAATTTCCATAGGCTTTTATTATCATTATGTTGACAATGTTCAAATAATATTTGATTGGTGACTAGCAAATTTTCTATTTCTTGAGTAGTAATATTTTTATCTACATTTCTAATATAGCTTACAACATTTTCGATACAAGTTCCAAAAGGATGAATGCTTAAGAATATTGAAACAAGGCCTGTCAACAATATAATTTTTTTTTATGTAATTCTCATAATAATTTTAATATATATTCAAATATAAATTGGTACCTAGTAACTTTATTTGATTTTTTGAAAAAATATTTATTTCCTTATGTGTTTCTTGTATTGCATTATTTTGAATTAATTGATCATTAAGTGAACTTTTAGTTTTCTGGGCATCAGAATGTTTTTCGGCAAGAATATTTAATTCCTGAAAAATTAAGTGTATTATTATTATTTGTCATAATGCATTTGAAAAAAGTTTAAACATTTATTTTTTATTTTTAAAACATAATAATAAATTGTATAGACCAAA